AACCGCAAAGGACGAGGAGCATTCAAGAGCTCTACGATGACACGGAAGAAATTACTAATTTTGATTTTTATATTGTCTCTTTGCTGATAGTGAACCAATGAACTTTGATGAAGCTATTTCAGACAAAAGTGGAGAAGCCATGGAGGAGGAGATTGAGTCAATAAAGAAGAACAACACTTGGGAGTTAACAACTCTTCCCAAGAGCCATCGAGCAATTGGAGTTAAATGGGTATACAAGACAAAGGAGAATGCTGATGGAGATGTGGAGAAATACAAGGCACGACTTGTGGCTAAAGGCTACAAGCAAAGGCAAGGCATTGACTATGAAGAAGTCTATGCACCTGTTGCCCGCATGGAGACGATTCGTTTGCTGATCTCTTTGGCGGCGCAAATAAAGTGGAAGATCCATCAACTAGATGTCAAGTCAGCCTTCTTGAATGGATATCTTGAAGAAGAAGTCTATGTTGAACAACCATTGGGCTTCGTGGTCAAAAACCATGAAGATAAAGTGTTGAAGTTGAACAAAGCTTTATATAGATTGAAGCAAGCCCCGCGAGCATGGAACAATTGCATCGACAAGTATTTTCAAGATAATGGATTTACTCCTTGTCTCCATGAATATGCTCTTTACCTTAAAGTTCATACTAATGGAGATATCTTGCTTGTTTGTCTTTATGTTGATGAGCTTATTTTCACGGGCAATAACTCAAGTTTGTTTGAAGCTTTTAAGAAAGATATATCCCATGAGTTTGAGATGACAGAAGAAGGGCTCATGTCATACTACCTGGGCCTAGAAGTGAAGCAGATGTAGCATGGAATTTTCATCTCTCAAGAAAGCTATACAAAAGAGATATTGAAGAAGTTCAACATGCTCAATTGCAACCCCGTGAATAGACCGATAGAGAGTGGGACAAAATTGTCCAAGTTTGATGAAGGAGAAAAGGTGGATCCCACATTTTTCAAAAGTCTTGTGGGAAGTTTGAGGTACTTGACTTGTACCGGGCTAGATATACTCTTTGAAGTTGGAGTAGTAAGCCGCTTTATGGAAGCTCCTACCTCCACTCATTTGAAAGTCACTAGAAGAATTCTTTGTTACTTAAAAGGTACTATTGACTTTGGGTTATTTTATTCTCTTCTAATGATTTCAACCTTATGGGATATTGTGATAGTGATTATGCGGGAGATATTCATGATAGAAAAAGTACAACTGGTTTTGTATTTTTCTTGGGTGATTCTGTTATTTCTTGGAGTTCAAAGAAACAATCAATTGTTACTCTCTCGACTTGTGAAACCGAATATGTAGCAGCAACATCTTGTACATGTCATGCTATTTGGCTGAGAAGATTGTTGAAGGAGCTCAATTTACCACAAATTGAAGCTACAGAGATTTGTATTGACAACCAATCCGCACAGGCACTCGCGAAAAATCCAGTGTATCATGATCGAAGCAAGCATATAGATACAATGTATCACTTCATCAGAGAAAGCATTGCCAAGAAGGAAGTTGAACTCAAATATGTGAAGTCTCGTGATCAAGTTGCAGATATCTTCACAAAGCCTCTCAAATTTGAAGATTTCCAGAGATTGAGATCAAGACTTGGAATGAAGAAGAAAAATTAAAATTAAGGGAGAGATTTGTGAGACCCATTTTAATAAAAAGAAAAAAAAAATGAAGAAAACAAGTTGAATGGACGTCTGACAAAGTTGTGCAATTTGCAAATGCAAGTTGCAAAGGAGCAAATCTGATTTTGGTAACCAAATCGATGCAAATTTGAACCAATCGTTTTGATTGGTTTATTTGGACGACAATTCACTTTATAAATAGCAGCCTCGTTTCTTCATTTGAAGTACACCAAAAATGAGAGAGAAGCATAAAGCTGAGAGTAATCCACAGATTGTAGTCTATGAGATAAATAGTGAGTGTGAGTAATATTGTATTGAGGTATCTAAAATAAAGAGTGTTATTTCTTTTGAAGTTGTAGTAGTCTCTTGACACTACTAAGTTGTAATATTATAGTGATAATATTGCTCCACTCGGGTACTGTATTTTACCCCGTTAAAAGATTTAGTATCGTTGTTACTCTCTTGTGTTATTGTTATTTATCGTGGATATTATTCCTAGCCGGGATATTATTTATCCCAACAGAATTGCAGTCTTGTTTGAAAATTATTACCTAATGACAGCCTAAAACCAAAGCTTTATAATCTAGTGGTACTAAGGTTTTTCCTACACAATAAATGTCAGTCTTGTTTGAAGTTTGTCGGAAAATGCCGGCCGTAGCAACTCGACGTAGCTATGCCAAAGTAACTTCACGTAGTGGTGTCACACGGATTTCTTATCTAAACTTCCTCTTTTCCATTTCCTTGCCTCAACTCCAAAATAACGAAAAAGAAAAATAACAAAATCTATAATTAAGATCCATGTTATAAATAAAATTATATTTAAGGTGGATGTCTATATTTTACAGAGATCCCAGGGCTTGTTACTTTGTGTCTAAGTCATTCTTTCCCTATAAATAGAGGGGTTCTATTCCATTTTCCCAAATCAATAAGAATTCTATCTCTCTTTCTTTGGAATATTCTTCTTCATTGTTTCATTACACGTTATCAGCACGAGACTCTACCGTCTCAAGAAGCTCTTTTAGAAGACTAAGGTATAATTTTTCTCCTGTTTTAATTATGACTGATATTATGAAATGAAAGCTCGTTGCCCTTGAATTTTCGGGCAAGAACTATATGACATGAGTGTTGGATGCTGAAATTTATTTAAATGCAATGTGATAAGTGCATTTTACTTGATTTTTAACATATAATTTCTTTGAAAAACACACACAAAAAACTATCATATTTCTTCCATACTTTGTCCAAATTATGCAGGAAAGGTTAAAGAAGTATTGGTCCGGGAACGAGAAGATTACAGAGGAAAAATTAGAAAAACGGACAAGCTAAAGCAGAGTAAAATATGGCGCTAAAGAAAGACGTGATATGCCATGACAAAGGACAACCGACTCACAACCGGCTACAACAAACTATAACCGACTCACAACTGGCTACAACAAACTATAACCGACTCACAACCGGCTACAACAAACTATAACCGATCCATAATCAAAGAAGCTCATAACCAAGCATAACAAGGCCACAACCAGCCATAACAAGTTCATATCCAAGAGTGTATTGAAAAGTTTGTCATGGCTTGGCTATAAAAGAGGCATCAATCGTGAAATGAAAGAGGGAGGAGCGAGGAAGAAAGCTGAGAAGTGAAATATTGAGCAGAAAGTTTTTCCTTTCTCTTTATTCTTTAGTTTAGCTTCTGTTTCATCTTTTAGCCATTACTCTGGCTTCATTTCTTGTTCTGAATAAATTGTAGTATTGGAAATTACTCTAGTTCCTGTTTTTAATTAAATAGGAGGAATTATTCTCTTGAATATTTCTTTCTATTTTCTTATTTAATGGGCAAGATTATTTCCGTTGTCGGTATTGGCTCCAATATTGAGTAACTTTTCTTGTGTTGGGAAAATGACGGATCTTAATATTTTTATATAATAGTAGTAGATATTATTCTTCAATTTCACATGCTTGAGCTGAAGCTTTTTATTTAAATTTTATCTGCTTTATAGTTGGGTGTTATTTAATTTGTTAACATCTATCTATTTCGTACTACATATTAACTTCTTACTAATTCTGTAATCGAAAGAGGCAGAAGAAGTAATACTTAATTTTGGTATTGATAGATGTTAACCTATATTTAGTGACATCTAGCTCATATATGTTAAAGTTGATTCTACACTTATTTGTAATCGAAAGAGGCGAATATTGTAGTAATCAGTTATAACAAGTAGGGTAACCGAAAGTGACTTACTAAAAAAGAGCATGCTTTAGTTCAAGTATATATTTCTGGTTCTTTAATATTACCATTTTAACGATTAATTTGTATAACCGAGAGGAGTGCATTTAATTGTTCAACTATAGTAATAATATATAAATATAATCGTGAGAGGCATTTATACATTTATGAGAAATAGAAGTTGAAGGATAAATGTATCTATTATATAATAAAAATATTAAGTGAAGTCAGGATCCCAACACATTTTTATTATATTTGTGAAAAACAAAATATTTTCTATTGCTCTATTCATGCATTTTTAGTTAGTTAATTTGCAACTCAAATCTTTCTGATTTTCTCAAATAGTAATTAAAACAAGAAACGTCTGTAGAATAGATAAACCAATCTCTGTGGGTTCGACATCTTTCTATACTATAATTTGACAGAGTACGAGTTTAATTTATACACACGCCAAACACTCGTCAAACTTTTGGCGCCGTTGCCGGGGATTGGCAAAGTCTACTACAGATTAATTGTTTTACTACTAATTTGAGATTTTTTTTTTATTGTCTAATTATTTTAACTTCTCTGCAGAAATTTCAGAAAGTGTATGACCCGTTCCTCTTCTAGAGAACTAGTCAAATACGATCCTGAAATTGAAAAATCCTTGCGGTTGTTGCGAAAAGAACAAACCTCACGATCTCAAATTTTTACATCAGAGGAAATGGAGAACGAAGAACTCAATAACCAACTTCCACCGCATCATGTAGAAGAACAGTTTGATGAGGTGGCACCACGACGTGATAGAATACTCCGTGATTATGCAAGGCCAGATCATTTTGAAGGAGAATCAAGTGTGAGGAGACCACCAATTGCAGCAAACAACTTTGAAATCCGCATAGGCTTGATTCAAACCATTCAACAGTCATGTCAGTTTACTGGTGATGCGAGTGAAGATCCTCACACCCATCTAATTGATTTTCTTGAATTAGTTGAAACTTGCAGGTATAATGGAGTCACAACAGACGCCATCAGGTTGCGGCTTTTTCCTTTTTCTTTAAAAGGTGAAGCAAAAATATGGTTGCGAAGTCTACCAAGAGGTTCCATTACAACATGGGACCAAATGACCCAAAAATTTCTTAATAAATATTTTTCACCTGCAAAAACATTTAAAATGAAGCAAGAAATCAATAATTTCATGCAGACAGATTCAGAATCTGTATACCAGGCATGGGAAAGATTAGCAGCAATGTTAAGAAAATGCCCACATCATGGTATCCAAGACCCTGATATTTTATATATTTTCTATCACGGTCTTAAACCCTCTGCTAGAAATGTAATTGATGCAGCATCAGGAGGATCAATAATGGGAAAAACTACTACACAAGCAATGCAATTGCTTAATGAAATTTCGGAAAATGCTGTTCAATGGCCCTCAGACAGAATGATTATCAAAAAAACAGCAGGAGTAAATCAAGTTGAAGCTTTGAATTCATTGACACAACAAATTGCGACTTTAACACAAAAAGTGGAGGCTTTTCAGGTAGGTGCTCACTCATCATCCCAACTTGAGAATTGTGATGTTTGTCAAGGTAATCATCCGAATCATGAATGTCAAGTTTCAACGCAAAATGAAGAACAGGTAAATATGATTGGTTATAGAAATAATTACTCATTTGGTAGTCCCATGGCACAAAAACATCCAGGATTTCAATGGAATAATCCTAATGGTGCTGAAAATCCTCAAAGATTTTTCAATCAAAAGCAGCAGGTACAGGGACCACCTGGTTTTCAAAATCAAAACAGAGGGCAACAAGATTTCCAGAAATATCAACAACCACCCCAAAGAGCTCATCAGCAAAGCCTAGAAGACATGATGTACAAATTCATTAAGGCTACTGATGAGAAGTTTGAAAGTCAAAGTTCAGCCATCAAGAATTTAGAAATTCAGATGAGCCAATTAGCAACCCTCATGTCTGAAAAAATAAAAGGTGCTCTACCAAGCAACACCGAGAAAAATCCAAAGGAACACCTCAAAGCCATCTCTCTGCGGTCAGGTAAAACTCTTGATGATCCATATGCAGATAGACAAGGAAAACCACAAGAAGTGGAACAGGTAAATGAAGGTGAGAATAAAAGAGACTCTGAACTTCTAAAAAAATAAAAAGATAAAGGAAAAATGGTACAAGAAAATGAATTGATAACAGATCCTCACTCTGTACCTCTCCCTTTTCCCCAAAAGATGAAAAGAGAAAAGCTTGACAAACAGTTTTCAAAGTTTCTAGATATTTTGAAACAACTTTACATTAACATACCTTTCACAGATGCTTTGACACAAATGCCTTCATATGCTAAATTTCTCAAAGAAATTCTGTCAAGTAAAAGAAAATTGGAAGAAGTTTTAGTTATTAAGCTTACAGAAAAATGTAGTGCTATACTTCAAAATAAGCTTCCACAGAAACTTGGCGATCCAGGGAGTTTTACAATTCCTTGTACTGTGGGAGGTGCTCACTTTGAAAAAGCATTATGTGATTCGGGTGCTTCAATAAATCTAATGCCTTTTTCAATTTTCAGGAAATTAGAACTTGGTGAAATGAAAGATACTGGTGTGTCTCTCCAATTAGCTGATCAAAGTACTAAAAAACCAAAAGGAATTATTGAAAATATCCTTGTCAGAGTTGACAAATTTGTATTCCCAGTAGATTTTATAGTGCTTGAAATGGAAGAAAATACTGAGGTACCATTAATTTTAGGGAGACCATTTCTCGCAACATGGAGAGCAATTATTGATGTTCATCAAGGACAACTAATTTTGCGAGTTGATCAGGAAAGAGTAATTTTTGACATGCAGAAAATGATGAAATATCCTGGGGATGAGTCATCAGCATCTTGTTTTCAAATTGACTTACTAGATGACCTTGTAGACGAATACAAAGATAATCAGTTAATTACTAATTCATTGGAAAGATGTTTAGTCAGGTCAGGTACCACAAGTGATGAAAATGCCACAATCAGAGAAGAAGCGGAAACATTGGAAAAAGAATCAAAAAATGAGAAAGTCTCACAAGAAGAAGTTCAATCAAAAATTGAACTCAAAAATCTTCCTTCTCATTTAAAATATGTTTTTCTTGAACCTGAATTATTTCTAGTAATCATTTCATCTTCTTTGACTCCAGAACAGGAATACAAACTGATAGAAGTCTTGAGGAAACATAAAAGAGCTTTAGGGTGGACTATAGCTGACATCAAAGGAATCAATCCAGCTATTTGTATACATAGGATCCTCATGGAAGAAAATTACAAGCCAATAGTCCAACCCCAAAGGAGACTTAATCCAGCAATGCAAGAAGTTGTCAAGAAAGAAGTAGTGAAACTTCTAGCGGCAGGTATCATTTATCCAATATCTGATAGCCCTTGGGTAAGTCCTGTACAGGTAGTACCAAAGAAAGGAGGTATCACCGTAATAAAAATGAAAATAATAAACTCATACCTACAAGAACAGTCACATGATGGAGAGTCTGTATTGATTACAGACGACTTAATGATGCCACAAGGAAAGATCATTTTCCTTTGCCTTTTATTGACCGAATGCTTGAAAGAATTGCAGGGCATAGTTTTTATTGTTTTCTTGACGGATATTCTGGGTATAATCAGATACCAATATCTCCCCAAGATCAGGAGAAAACCACATTCACATGCCCCCAAGGTACGTATGCTTACAGAAGAATGCCATTTGGACTATGTAACGCTCCTGCTACATTTCAGCGTTGCATGTCGGCAATTTTCTCAGATATGACTGAAAGGTTTCTTGAAATTTTCATGGATGATTTCACACTTTTTGGTAAGACATTTGAAGATTGTCTCTATCATTTAACTTTGGTGCTTAAAAGATGCGAAGAGACAAATCTAGTTCTTAACTGGGAAAAGTGTCACTTTATGGTAACAGAGGGAATTGTTTTAGGACATAAAATCACTGCTAAAGGAATAGAAGTTGATAAAGCTAAAATTGATCTTATAGCAGGATTACCCCCTCCCACCACTGTTAAAGGTATTAGAAGTTTCTTAGGGCATGCAGGTTTTTATAGAAGGTTCATAAAAGACTTTTCAAAATTTCAAAACCTCTAACTAACCTACTGATGAAAGATGTGAAATTTGAATTTTCAGATAGTTGCAGAAAAGCATTTGAGTTTCTCAAAAAACAATTGACTAATGCTCCAATTGTTGTCTCTCCTGATTGGAGCCAGCCATTTGAAATAATGTGTGATGCAAGTGATACAGCAGTAGGAGCAATATTGGGACAAAAGAAAAACAAGATCTTTAGACCCATATACTATGCCAGCAGAACACTCAATGAAGCTAAAATGAATTATGCAACAACTGAGAAGGAGTTATTGGCAGTAGTATTTGTATTTGACAAATTTCGTTCTTATTTGATAGGAACAAAGGTTACAGTGTTCACTGATCATGCAGCCTTAAAGTATCTATTAGCAAAGAAAGATGCTAGACCTAGATTGCTAAGATGGATACTCCTTTTGCAAGAATTTGATCTCGAAATAAAAGATAGAAAAGGTTCAGAAAATCAGGTAGCTGATCATTTGTCACGTCTAGAGAATCCTCCTACTGAAATACTAGATATCCAAGAGGAATTTCCTGATGAGCATATCTTTTCTGTCGCAACGGTTGTAAATAGACCTCCTTAGTTTGCTGATATTGCCAATTATTTAGTGGGAGGGTTGATTCCAAAAGATTTTTCTTATGATCAAAGAAAAAAGCTTAAAAAAGAGGCTAGACATTGTTACTGGGAAGATCCTTATTTGTTTAAATTTTGTGCAGACGACATAATCAGGAGATGTGTACCTGAAATAGAAATGAACAATATTTTAAGTCACTGCCATGATGGAGCTGTGAGAGGACACTATGGAGGAAGAAAGACAGTAGCTAAAGTACTTGAAGCTGGATTTTTCTGGCCTACTCTATTCAAAGATGCAAGGAATTATGTCGCCAGTTGCGATAAATGCGAGAGAATCAGTAAAAATCGTCTATTGCAGCTTGATGAGTTGGAAGAGTTCAGACTTACAACATACGAAAATGCTAAATTGTACAAGGAAAAGACAAAAAAGTGGCATGACAAGCTCATCCTCCATAAAGATTTTAAAGTGGCAGATCATGTTCTGCTGTACAATAGCCGATTGAGATTATTCCCAGGAAAGTTTAAGTCACGCTGGACAGGACCATATATAGTAACAGGAGTGACCCCCTATGGTGCCATTGAAGTACAACATGCAGATGGGGGAGACAAATTCAAAGTAAACGGTCATCGTTTGAAGCCATATATCAGCAGATTCTTCGACAAACAGGCTTCAACAATCCTTTTTGCCTAATTTTTAAAAATAAGTCGAGCTGGCGACATTAAACTCAGAACTATTTTCTTCCCCTCTCTTTAATCTTTTAAGTAATTATTAGTAGTAACATATAATATTTCCTTTTTAGTAAATATATATAATTAAATTAGTTTTTCTTCTTATAAAAAAAAGTTAAAAAATAATAATAATTGCATGTATGTATTATATTATATATATAGATATGTATGTAGTATGTATTAATATATTTTGCCATGATGAAAAAAAAACACTCCCATGATTTATGTAACGACCCGACCGGTCGTTTTGAATTCTAGCACTCCGTTCAGCAGCCTGAGGCCATGAGCAGCTTCATTTCAGGTATTATGACTTGTACGCATGGTCGGAATTGAATTTCGGGAAGTCCAGAGTTGATTTGGAAAGAGAATTCTCATTGCGGAAGCTTAAAGTTGAAAGAATGAGCTAGGATTGGAATTTTAAGTAAACGACTTCGGAATCAGGATCTGAAGGTTCCATCAGATTCGTATGATGATTTCGGACTTGGGCGTATGCCCGGTTCGGGTTTTGGATAACCCGGGAGTGTTTTGGCGCCTATTGTGGAAGTTAGCATTTTATAAGAAATTTCATAAGTTCGGCTTGAAGTGCATTTCAGTGTTATCGATGTCTGTTTGGGATTCCGAGACTATGAATAGCTCCGTATGGTGATTCTGGAGTTGGGAGCGCGATCAAAAGTGAATTCGGAGGTCCGTAGGTCATTTTGGAGCCATTTGGCTAAAGATAGAAATTTGAAGGTTTTTGAGAAGTTTGACCGGAAGTGGACTTTTTGATATCGGGGTCGGAATTCGATTTTGGAAGTTGCAGTAGGTTTGTAATGTCAAATATGACTTGTGTGCAAAATTTGAGGTCAATCGGACGTGATTTGATAGGTTTAAGCATCGGAAGTAGAAGTTGGAAGTTCTAAAGTTCATTAAGCTTGGATTGGGGGTTGATTCATGATTTTAGCGTTGTTTGATGATTTGAGGCCTCGAGCAAGTCCGTAATGTGTTTTGAGATTGGTTGGGGTCCCGGGGGCCCCGGGTGGATTCCGGGTGGTTTACGGATTGAAAATGGGATTTTTGGACAGCTGAAGTGTCACGACCCAAACTGGAGGGCCATGACTAGCACCCGGCCATACTTACCGAGTACCAACATACATTTTATCTAACCTTCTTTATTATCTTTTAGGGCTGACGAGATCAATATGAATGGTAGACATGGATCATGGACAACCAACAATAAAATATGATGGCATGAACATACATAACATGGGATGACTAGACAATCAAGAAACTATATATAAGGTACGAGCTACCACACTACCATGAGAGACTATACAACAAAAACCAGCCGACAAGGCCTACCAAACTATACATGAGTCGACACCTGTCTATGAGCCTCTAAAGGAACATAAGTGTTGCAACATAGCCGGAACAGGGCCCCGACATACCCATAATATCTATAACAAAAATGCATACCAAGACCAAGGCAAGTCTGAAGAAGGGATCTCGCCAATCACCGCTGAACTGGACAGCCTACTATGGTGGGGGAGCTGCGCCTGCCTGTCTATCAGGACCTGCAGCACGACATGCAGCGTCCACAAATAAAAGGACGCCGGTACGAATAAAGTACTGAGTATGTAAGGCAGGGAACCATGTACGAACAGTAATGTAAGCAGGGATAGAGAATAAACAACCTGTAACATCTGGGTACCTCTAAGGGCTACTGACATGAAATGCGTGATACATATGTATATATACATAAACTTTTAAAACATACGCCTCTGTGGGCATCATCATCATCATATCGTACCCGGCCGTAATAGGCTCGGTAAAAACGTACCCGGCCACGTGGAGCTCGGTAAAACCCAACTGATCGGTGGTTGCACAATAGGTGCCATACCCGGCCGACTATAGCGCGGCTCGGTAGAGTAAAATAGATACATATATATAATGCATGCTCGACTCATGAACTCACGTTCTAAACCTTTCGGAGTGACGTAAGGTCGGTATCCTCTGTACACGTTATTAGGACTAACTCTTCACCATGAACCTTATAAGAATCAGGAAGTACCAATAACATTGATAACATAAGAATAAGAGAAGCAACATCAACATCAATCGTTCCATAAGAGGGGAAACAATGTAAGTACTGCTAGCTTCTAAGAGTAGAGTATCTTTGGAAGCTCGTTCATTACATTATGTACAACGGAGTCGTGCAAAAGAAGGAAAGGGATAGCCTCACATACCTTGTATATACTGCCCCAATCTCAAGCTATGCAATTTTCACGACTCCTTAGTCTACAATAAGAGAAACGATACTATAGTTACCATTCAAGCGTCATAACTATTATGTATCGACCACAACCTATTTTTACGATAAACGGACAGCACCTCCCCTNATTGTTTTATATATGAAAAATGGAAGGAAAACTCTTAGATTTTCAAAGGTATTAAAAGAGAATTTAATTGATAATTTAGTTGGCTTGCCTGACAACGGTGTCCGGCGCCATCACGACCCGTAGTGGATTTGGGTCGTGACAGTTAACATCTATCTATTTCGTACTACATATTAACTTCTTACTAATTCTGTAATCGAAAGAGGCAGAAGAAGTAATACTTAATTTTGGTATTGATAGATGTTAACCTATATTTAGTGACATCTAGCTAATATATGTTAAAATTGATTCTACACTTATTTGTAATCGAAAGAGGCGAATGTTGTAGTAATCAGTTATAACAAGTAGGGTAACCGAAAGGGACTTACTAAAAAAGGAGCATACTTTAGTTCAAGTATATATTTCTGGTTCTTTAATATTACTATTTTAACGATTAATTTGTATAACCGAGAGGAGTGCATTTAATTGTTCAACTATAGTAATAATATATAAATGTAATCGTGATAGGCATTTATACATTTATGAGAAATAGAAGTTGAAGGATAAATGTATCTACTATATAATAAAAATATTAAGTGAAGTCAGGATCCCAACACCTTTTTATTATATCTGTGAAAAACAAAAATATTTTCTATTGCTCCATTCGTGTTGTTTTTTAGTTAGTTAATTTAAAACTCAACTCTTTCTGATTTTCTCAAATAGTAACTAAAACAAGAAACATCTGTAGAATAGATAAACCAATCTCTGTGGGTTCGACATCTTTCTATACTATTATTTGACAGAGTACGAGTTAAAATTTTATATACGCTAGACAATCGTCACAATGGGTCTTGGAGACACCATTAAAGATAAAAATAAAGCATCTGCCCAAGACTGTGATAAATCCTTGATTTTCTTGCGCCATCACCTTCACGAAAGGTTGAAAATAAAATATCTCACAGTCAAAGATCCACTTGTGTTGTGAAATGGTTTAAAGAAAAGATATGACAACTTAAAGTTGGTCACACTTCCACAAGCACGATATGATTGAGCTCATCTGAGGCTCCAAGACTTTAAGTCTGTTTCTGAATACAATTTTGCGATGTTCAGAATTACTTCTAAATTGAAACTCTGTGGAGATAATATCACATACTATGATATGCTTGAAAAAACATTCACAAGATTTCATGCCTCCAATATGGTCCTGCAACAACAGTACCGAGAGAAAGGTTTCAAGAAGTACTCTGAGTTGATTTCTTATCTCTTTGTGGCTGAACGAAACAATGACTTGCTCATGAGAAATCACGATAATCGACCCACTGGGTCTACACTATTGCCTGAAGTGGATGAGGTGTATTCCTATTATGCTAAGCGTGGAAAAGGTCGTGACCATGTTCGTAGTCGTGGTCAAGGAAGAAATTTTCCTAGTGTTAATCATCCTCAAAGAAAAATAACTACCAAAAAGGAAAGGGAAAGATGAGAAGCCAAAGGCAAAGGGTTCAGAAACTAAATGTTATCGTTGCGGTGGAAAAGGGCATTGGGCAAATATTATTTGTACAATATTTGGTTGGGCTTTATCAAGCATCTCTAAAGAATAAAGACCCTGAAGCTAATTTTGTCTCTGACAATGAATTTGGCACCACCCACTTGGATGTGGCAGACTTCTTTTGAGCACCCTGATGAAAGGAAAAGTAGACCACTTGGTTGGTGACAGATCCGTGGTTAAAGATGATTGAGTAGTTTGATTTTATTTTTATTTTTGCATATTCATAGTAGCTAGCGAATAAATATTATGTAATTATAGTAGTAGTTATTAGTATCAATTAGTATTATTTATTTTATAAAATAATGTTAGTTCGTTTTTACTAAATATAGTAATATTATTTTCAGTGTATTTCAAAATAAAATATTACTGTCATTCAAATTT